TATGTACCTTCCTTACAGCCAGCACAGTTTCAGGTTCAAACACCTCTTCCTACTCTCCTGCCATAAGGTCGGGCAGCTCTTCATTCTCATGGTACTGTCCCACATCTTTTTTCATTAATGATACATGGAACACTGGATGAACTCTAGAACTTATTGGCAATTTCAGTTTTAGGCGACAGCTCTGATTCTTTCCGTAATAGGGTAAGGTCCATAATATCTAGCAGCAAATTTAGCATTAATTTTGGTAACCACGGAATTTTGCCTATGTGCTATCAGCTTAACAAAGACTCATTTTCCTACTTCAAAACTCCTATCAATTCTCTTCTTATCAGCCTGAGCCTTCATTCTATCTTGTGCTCTATGCAACTGACTTCTCAACTGTTTGATAGCCTCATCCCTTTCTACTATGTCTCTCTGCACTGCCTCAACCCTTATCTCTCCTTGAGCCCATCTACCCATCACATGAGGAGGTCTACCACAGACTAGTTCAAAAGGGGTGTGCTCTGTAGTAGTGTGAAATGAAGTATTGAACCAGTACTCAGCCTAATGTAACCATGACATTCAAGTCTTGGGCTGATCAGAGATGAAGCATCTAAGGTACATCTCTAAACACTGGTTAACTACCTCTGCCTGACCATCGGACTCCGGGTGGTAGGCCGAGCTCATTTTGAGTTGAGTTCCCTGGGCCTTAAACAATTCTCTCCAAAAATTGCTCATGAAGATGGGGTCTCTATCACTCACTATAGACGTAGGTATCCCATGCAACCTGAGACTTCCTTGCTAAAAATCTCAGTCAAACCTGTAGCCGTATATGGATGCTTAAGAGGAATAAAATGACAATATTTAGACAGTTTGTCCACTACTACGAAAATAGCTTCATACCCCTTGGATTTTGGCAGGCCGGTGATGAAATCCATAGAAATGTCTTCCCAAATGTGTTCTGGTATGGGCAGAGGTTGCAACAAGCCCCCCGGAGAAGAAGACAAGTATTTTTGCCTTTGGCAAACATCACAACTTCTTACAAATTCCTGCACTACTCCCTTCATTCCTACCCAATATACATTTGCTCCAACCAATCTATATGTCTTGTAGAACCCCGAGTGCCCTCCTTGTGGAGTGCTATGGAACTCTTTCAATAGCGTAGGAATCATGACTGAATGTCTTGAAAGGACTAGTCTTCCATCATACATTAAGACTCCATGTTTATATACATATCCAGGTTTGGACATCGGATCTTGTGAGAGTTCAGCTATTATTTTCTGTAATTCCTCATCATTATGCACCTTTTCCTTCATTAATTGTGTTTGATCCCACTGCAAAAAAGATGTGATACTCCTCAACTCCATTCCTTCGTGCATTTTAGACAAGGCATCAGCTCCTCTATTTAATTTGCCTTGCTTTTAGACAACCTCAAAATCATCACCAAGTAGTTTTGCAGCCTAGTTTTGCTGCTCTGTAGTAGAGATTCTATGTTGCAACAATTGTTTCAGGCTCTTTTGGTCGGTAGAGACAACGAATTTCCTGCCAAGGAGGTAGGATCTCCAATGTTGTATAGCCAACCCCAATGCCATAAGTTCTTTCTCATATGCAGATTTGGATAGATTTCTTACTCCCAACACCTTACTAAAGTAAGCTATCGACCGTTTTTCCTACATTAGAATTGCCCTTATACCACTGACAGAGGCATCACACTCGATTACAAATGGCTTACTAAAATCAGGTAGAGGCAAGACAGGTGTTGTAGTGAGCTTCACCTTCAACTCTTCAAAAGCTCTTTGAGTTTCATCTCCCCACTTAAATCCATCTTTCTTTGTCAACTTTGTTAACGGTTTAGCTATCTTGCCATAGTGTTTGATAAACTTCCTGTAATATCCAGTCAGCCCTAAGAATCCTCTAACTCCCTTCACATTCTTAGGGGTAGGTCATTAGGTCACACTAACTACCTTATTAGGGTCCACAGCTACTCCTTCTTGGGATATGACATGCCCCAAGTAGTCAATGGATTTCTGAGCAAAGAGACATTTCTTCTTGTTGGCTACTAACCCATTGTTATCTAACACTTGCAACACAATTTGCAAATGTTGCAAATGGGTCACCCAATCATCACTGTATACTAGTATATCGTCGAAGAAAACCAACACATATTTCATAAGCATGGGTTTAAACACTTCATTCATGAGGCTTTGGAATGTGGAGGGTGCGTTCATAAGGCCAAATGACATGACTAGAAATTCATAGTGTCCCTCATGAGTACGAAAGGTTGTCTTGTATACATCCTCTTCCTTGACCCTTACTTGATGATAACCGAATTTTAATTCCAATTTAGAGAAAAATCTAGCACCATGCAACTCATCTAACAACTTTTCTATAATAGGTATTGGGAATTTATCAAAGATGGTTACCTTGTTTAGGGCCCTATAATTTATGCACATGCGCCACGAGCTATCCTTCTTCTTCACTAATATTACCGGACTAAAGAAAGAGCTTGTGTTGTTCCTGATTATTCTGGTAGCCAACATCTATTTGATTTGCTTTTCGATCTCATTTTTGTGATGATGAGGATATCTATAGGGTCTTACATTCACCAGACTTGCTCCTTCTACTAAATTAATGGTATGCTCCTTGCCTCTGATTGGAGGTAGCTCTTTAGGCTCTACGAACACCAAAGCAAAATTGTGTAATAACTGACCCAACCTCTCCTTCTGTAGTTGAGACAAATGGGCCTTTTGTGCTCCACTACCCTGCTTCTCTATACTCCCTAACTTCCTCCCTAAACCTTGTAATGTAACTCACTCCTTATTACTCCAAAAACTCATGAGTTGTTTCTTCCAATTCATAATCATATCTCCAAGGGTATTCAGCCACTATATTCCCAACACGACATCAATTCCGCCTAATTCAAACAGATGCATATCCGCTTGAATTCCGAATTCTCCAATCTTCAATTCCACCTCCCTATAAACTCCTTGAGTCATGGTTTGAAACCTATCACCCAACTTGATTCGCATTTGTGAAGTTTTCTCCATTGGTCAATCCATCTTGCATACCAACTTCTTTGATTTCCCCTTGGAACCGCATAACTTAGGGGATGTGATTAGTCATCTGATCCAAATGCATCAAACTCATCTCTCCCATCTCATCGTCATCCGCCTCATTCACTTCGATCGCCAATACTTGACCATCTTGCTCCTCTGTATCATTGTCATCAACAAGTAGGATTCAGAGGTGTTTATCAGGGCATTGATGTGTAGGGGAGAAAGGCCCCTTACATTTGAAGCAAAGACCCTTCTATTTTCTATCCATCAATTCCTGGTAGGATAAATGTTGAAATCCACGATCACAAGGCTCATTTCTTCTCTTATCTACATGGGTTATTATTTCTTCTCTAAGCCCAACAGGGTTGCTTTTAGAACCCTTAGTCACTTCACCTTCTATATTTTTCACTAAAACCCAATCTGAATTCCCTAGACCCGTTCCATGAGTTCCGGGTCGGTGTGACCCGTTTCCAGATCTGAACCCTCTACTACTAGACGATCCATTTTCTCCACATATTTCCTTCTCCACCGCACGCGTCACCTGTAACAGTCTTGCGCAACTCATTTCCCCCATAGCTACGAAGCTGCGAACTCGACCTCTAATCTCTGCCTTCAATCCGTGAAGAAAAAATCTCAAAAATTGCTTGTCAGGCAATTTCAGAATCTGAGTCATAAGATACTCAAATTCGGTGATGTATTCTTCTACCATCCACTCTGTTTCAGACCTGTTAACTGCTCATATACGTCACCGTCGTCGTGCCCACCATATCTGGCCAACAGTGAGTCCTTCAGCTTCTCCCACGACAAACCTTCATCTTCTCCTGCTAGAGAATTGAAGAAATGAATCGTAACTCCTTCCATACACAACTGAGCTAGACTCACCTTCAACTCCGGTAGCGTCCCCTGAACACGGAAATACACTTCAGCGCGCGAAAACCACCCTGTTGAATCTTCGACGTTGAAGGACAGTAGCTCCACCTTTTTAATGGATTGATGAAACTCAGTCAATGCATCACCACTGAGGTTGTGAAGCCCGGATTCAGAGAAGTCCTCCTTCCCCGATGATTGTCGCTCTTTGTCATTCGCACTACCTTCTCCTTCCAGCATCGTCTTGCCTAGACACCGTTCAAACATGGCCATGAGACTCTTATGGCTAGTCTTCATTGCATTCTGGACGTCTAACAACGTCGACTTTACCTCCAATATCTCGCTTTCTAACGCAGCTACCTTTGCATCCATCTTAACAAACTCCGAGTAGCTAACCTTCTTTGGGGGTATTCACTAGTTTCGGGAATGAGATCCGATAGGTCGGACCAGTTTGATACAAATTAATAAAACAGTAATTAATGTAACAGTAAAACAATTATGAAAATATGAAGAAAAGAAGTCTTATTGATGAAAATGGAAAACAAGTATAGAGAATGGAATTTTGTCATTCCCAAAATAGGCCCAGAGCTACGTTCCTATAGGATGCTAAATCTAGCTATTCATTCCTACCAAGATCTAGCTACAATCCGAGATGATTATTCCCTCTACTAACTGCTTCTTAAATTGTGGAAGTGTATTGCTCCTCTCTTTCATGTCACCTCATGATTGCTAACTAACTCAACCTCCAATTTCCTTTTTACCCCTTCTAGAATAAACTTTCCAAACTCTGAGACCACTAGAGTGGTGAATTAACTGTAAATTATTATCATTGTTTCTATCCGAAACCGTGGTTGGTATAGGAGAAGAAGCTCTTGGAGCCATAGGAAGAGTAATGAGAACAACTAAACAAATACAATATCTTCCACTTCCTAATAATCCACAAATATCTACGAGCTTGAATTCGACAACCGAAGATCTCATAAATGGACTTGAGATTTTTTTTCTTTCAGGTACAAATAATTTGAAGAAATGACAATCAAAATTTGGTTTCTCATATAGCAGCCTCTTTTGCCTACCACTAACTAACCCAAAATGCAACTACAGTATTGCTCTTTGCCTTTCGTCAGCATCGTCGCGTTCCACCTGAAAATAATGAAAATCAATAGTGATATCGGGTTTAGAACTTAAAAATTTAGGTATCTCATACAGAACTCAAGCAGTCACTTCAGCATAACTTTTTTTTAAACTTAAGGTTAGAATTGATTGCAGTCTCTTATTTTATTAATCACAATATTACAACAGTGCGTGCTTGGAATAATTATTAATTACAACTTCTAGAATGTAACTTTGGTAAGTCAAACACAGAATCAAAACTACATAATACATCAAGAAAAACAGAAGTCAGAGGAAGGAGATTGGCTTTGTGGTCATTGGTCAATATACAAAAATGGAGGCATCAGCTTTATTTTCAAACTCAAACAAAATATTTCTGCGCTCGATAGTTTAATGCAATGAAATTTCAGTTTAATGCGTCATATATTTAGAATCAGTAACAGGTACCTTCAAATTGCAACAAAATATTGACAATTGTATACACCACAATTGCCACAACAATAAAAGACAAATACACAAATAACATTTTAAAGAACAGATAGATTTTTACATAAGGAAACAGTATTAAATTACCTCAACGAGGACCCTTGTTTTCTTTGATTTAGGATCAAGGCTATTCTTTTCAAGTTTCTTTGAAGCTAAAGTCGATTTCCTTTTGGCTTTCCTTTGATCACGAGATTTAGTTTCTTCATCTTCAGCGCTTCCATCTGCAATAGTAGATGTCATCCTGTTATTGCTTCTTAAATGTGTATGTTTCATTTTATTCCAAAATGGCAAACAAGGAGTTCTTCTCAAGTGACCCGATCTCACCTCCAACGTATACGTTTCATTTGGATTGAATGTAAAAATATAATGGAAGAAAATAAAATGGATAGAAAATAACTAAGAAAACAAGTGAATTGTGTATATTTTATGGGACTCTCTAGATGAATAAGAATCAAAAGGTAAATAGATGGGTAAGAATGGAAGTTGTCAACTCAACAATTTTATCGATGACGGATCATGGAAAAAAGCCAAAAGTCTGACATATGGCGCAACCATATTCGTGTGTGGAGCCATGTTGCCGTCGTCCTTCACAAATTAGCCATATCGGCCAGCTATAGTATATTTACCATGGCCAATATTACAACACTGACTCAGTTTGAGTTTTCTCTTCTCAGTTGATGGGAAAAACTTCAATGTGGGTCTCACATTATTTTTTCCCCTTCATATTTCTTTCCACCAACACCACAAGAGAAAAAACTGTACATTCATCTCTAATTAACAAATTTCCCTTCTCCCATTTTCAACCCAACCAACCAAACAAGGTAAAGAATATGAAGTTCTGACTACAGTATCTAGAACAAGTGAAAAGGATGACACATAACTAGATTATAAAATATGCAGCAAGCTCAAAGGAAATGATTTCACATGATACAGTCACACAGCTCAATGCAAACAATCTCACGCCAGTGACACACTTAACTATCATACCATGCTTATCTAATTCAGAATCTTTTGTATTTTGGTTTTGGTTACGCAGAAGCAAATTCCTTGATGAGTGAAGCAATATTTCACGAAACATTTTCATAACCTATTTCACATATATTTTAGAATGAAAAAATACTACATGCATATTGTAAAGCTTCTAAACTAAATGTTACCAAGTTCATCATCGCTGCCATTGCCCTGTGACTCATCAATTGCATAAGCACCAAAATCTTCTATGTCATCTTCCTCTTCAAATTCATCATAAGGACCTTCTACATATTCTATTTCTTCTTCCTATTCAATTTGGAAAAAGATAAAAGAATAAACCAAGGTCAACACATTACAAAGTTAAGTTACTAAAACTTTTTATCTAAACAACACAGAAGAGCAAAATGCATTGTTGATATAAAATATGTACCATTTCCTCCTCTTCTTCAGCAGGTTGATGTCTCTCCATTTCAATAATCTTATCGTATTCTTCAAAAGGATAGTTGATGATATCATCTTGCTTGTAAAGTCCTTCTTTAAGGCGTGTCAATAGCTCTTTCTCAATAGACTGAGTAATATTCAAAAGCAACAATGAGAAAAGCAAAGATAACATACAATTCAATGCACATTAGTAACATTAGAATTAACTATAACCTTTTCTAGCACAGCTGCTTTTTCGGCCTTCTCTTCTCTTCTAGCTTCTCTCTTTACCTCCTTCCTTGGCAGTGTCGTTATTTTCTCCCTGTAAAACAACAACAACCAACATGAACAATCAGGCTGCTTTTATGGAGAAACTAATATAAACTTTCTTTGAAGACTACAGCCTAAAATGTAGTAGATAAAGGCGACGAAGAATTGTGACATGAATGTAAATTTACAATAGTGTTGTTAGTTTAAAAAATAGATCATGCAAACAAAAATGATGAATTCCAAATATCACAAGCAATACTACAGACATGCACGCATAGAAGTAGATACACACACGTATAGAAAAGGATCACAATACACCAAATGTGAGATCATAACAAAACAATGTGTCAGAAATCAAATAATATGCAATTTATTTAGAGCATCTGTTTCACAAGCAACTTCAAGATTTGTAAGGCCCTGCTTAACAAGACAAAACATGAAGCAAAAGAGAATCAAGTCACAAACCTTGTTTTTAAAGCAAGTTTCCTCATACGTATACGCATCTGGGTCATTTTGGTCAATCGTTGTTTTATCTTGTGTATAAGAATCTTGGGCCAATACATCTGCAAGTACAATAAAGGTCAGACAAGCAACAATCTCGGCTATTACATACAAACAAAGCATCAAATATATAAATGTCGCAAAGACTATATAGATATTTAGTACCAGATTTTTGTCTATGACTTCAAGTGCCTGCTCGTAATTCCTAGGAAGCTTAACTCTTTCCCACAAATCCTTTGGCATATGAGCTCTTTCAATAGTTTTCATGTAAAGGTAAAACACACCTACAACACATAATGCAATTGAATCATTCATTACTTGCATTCTTTACCCTAAATCCCCCACTTACTGCATTTTCCATTCACAACTCACAAGGATACACCCATTTAATCATTAACAAATCATGCAAAACAAACGGAACTAATCCAAAAGGTGCATGAATAACCAAAATGTATAAACAAAGTGAGAAATCAAAGTCAATATACAACTTGAAGACCAAAATTATGCAGTTTTTTTCATATTCCATAAGCATTGGTGGAATCTAACAGAATAAAAAAAGATGAGAAGGTAAAAGTACCATTGTCTTCGCGAATGGTGGCATAGCGACTATTAGCTAAAGGACAGGAACTTCGGTTACAAATTCCAGTGATGCTGTAAGGGTTTCTACAAAAAATACCTGTTTCAATTCTACAAACAAAAAAAAAAAAGCGTTAAACCATTGGAAGTGGTTGCAAAAACAACGATAAAAAAGAATGGGCACGGATATGAATAGCGTGATTACTTAGCCATGAAACTGCAATGGTTGTGCCTGATAACTTGCCATATAACCTCATCGTGCTGCATCTTTAGAATGAAATTTTTATGGTTTTTTACTTCGGATGTTGAGGTTTTAGGGTGAGAAGGGAATAGAGTGGAGGGCGGTGCGGCTGAGGGGTATTCAGTGGCGAGTGAGACGGCCGATAAGGAGTAGCAATCAGGGAAAATGAAGAAGGGTGCTGTGTGAGGGTGGCACGGTTGATGGCCGACGAGGAGTATAACTGAGGTTAGTTTTGAGAACCTTGCTAGTAGTAAACGAAGAAGGGTTTTGAAAGCAAGTTGCTACTCTACAAAATTTATTTATATGAAATTGTCAATATTTGGGAAAAGGACAATCCCATATATTAGTAATTTGGCTAAATAAGAATTTCAAAGGGGATTCATGAGTGCCTCTCTTGTGAACTAAATCACTAGTGACTTTTTTTTTCATTTTTTTTTCTTTCATATGGAGAGTTAGAGCAATGACGGACAACTTTGGTTTTTCTTCAAAACTTGATTTTGATGTGCAACAGGTGAGAGTGTTCCTCAATGGTGGGTGCTAGCTGATAGTTTTGGGACGTGAAGCACTTTAGAGGAGCGTTATAAAACTGAGTCATTGTCCCACGTGTCCAATCTAGTGTAGAGGAGCTCAAGAAGTCTTCAATATTCTCCTTGAAAATTGTTATTGATGAACTTTGGTACATCAATCAAAAGGTTTTTGATGGCATCAAGTTTTAGTTCTCTGAATCTGAGGGTGTTGGTGCTTCTCTTTTTGTTTTCGGCCATTCTTCAGAATATCTGAGACAACCATAACCTTTTAGGTCACTTGATATGCAAATGATATGTAATGCAATGTTATGAATGCATGCTTTGGAACAAGCTTGTAGCACATTGATCAACGATCACTGAGATAAGGATTCACATAGCAGGTATCTTTCTCCTCAGGTAGGTAATCTATTGGTTTACAATGGGATACTCCAAGGATTTTCAAACGAGGTCCCTTGCATCATGTCTCAAAAGTTTCTCATCATAACGACGATTCGTAAGACGGTAATCCCTTCAAGAGGATGAGCTTGGTGTTATATCTGTGTAACCTTTGGAATAGGGTTCTAAAGGTTCTCAGAATTACAGACTCCCAGGTCGAAAATAATAACGTCGTTACGACTGCTCGTAAGACAATAGAGTTTCCAAAGGGGTCTCATTTGAGTGGGAAAGTCATACTAACTCAACGAGTCCTAAGTCTCGCAAGTCAATAAGCAACCACCTCCTAGCATAATGTGTACTCAAAAAAGCTCAGGTATAAAGCTTTTTCCTCACGGATCATACCCAACATATATATAAACAAAGATAAGGAAGCAATAAAGAAAGCATCAGAGCAAGATAAAGGCAAACATCCACACATACGACAAACAGAACTAGGTTTGGCTCGCATAGGGAAGGGTCCCCGGCAGAGTCGTCAGCTATCGCAACACGAAAAATCACAGAGTCGCCATCGAATTTTATTTATCCCAAAGGGAAGGGTCCCCGACAGAGTCGTCAGCTATCGCAACACGAAAAATCACAGAGTCGCCATCGAATTTTATTCATCCCAAAGGGAAGGGGAAACATCGAGAAAAACCCAAAAGGAAGGATAAGATGTTCTCGCAACCAAAAGATGGGTTCGGAAGCCGGTTATGCAATGGGGAGGTATTAGCACCCCTTACATCCATCGTATTCGATGGGAACCATTCGTTCATCTTATGTGTAAGGATGTTGTTAAGGGATTATGCTTCCTATGAATGCTCTAAAAGGAAAAGAAAAAGATTAAAAACAAAGTTCTCGCGGAGAATTAGGGTCATAGTGCCTACGTACCCTCATGGTGCAATGAGGAAGTCAGAGTCTCGTAGTTCGTGGAACTAAAGGCGCAAAAAAATATGAGATTGTGAAAGAAGGTTGCTCGCCAAGATCTTGCAATCTCGTGCATACGTATCTTCATTAACCAATGAAGAATCATAGTGTCTGTAGTTTGTGGCACTACGAGTTGGTTGCTTTAGTGGACAACGTTAACGTTCACATCCTAGCAATAGGTTTTGATGCTCGCACACAAAAAGGCTTATTCTTTAGCATGTTATGCGGTAGGATGGAAATAACGTGCCCTTTTTGAAAAGGATTAGGTTTTCACCATCGAGGCAAGATGTCAAATTTGATTTGTGATGATTGATTTTAAGGGTGAAATAAGTCCTCAGATAGGAACCCCTGTGGGTAGTACCCAATTCTTTATCTCAAAAGATTTGCCTTAAAAATTGTGTGGTGAATATAGTCACGTCTTTGTATTGAAAGACGAGTATCGAGACCACACACTCTAAAGTGAGCATCCTAATACTCGGAAAAGAATAAGTTTTTACTCAATCCACTTTATTTAGTTCAATACGAGGAGGACATTATTTGTTTTATTAAGGAAATATTTTTACTTTAGAATGTAAGTGTTTATACATTGAACTCTAACAGTAATGTCAAACACTTGGGATAGGACAAGGCATTCGCCTAACCACTCCACAATCATCTAAGTTTATTTAGGAAATTATTTTGAAAATGCACTTGGTACAAGACCAAGGTTTTTGCTTAGGAAAATAAGATGATGAAAGGGAATGGAATGAAAGGGATCAGGGTAAGTTGATGGCGATGCACAAGGCAATCACCTTAAAAGTGTAAAAGCATACAAGGCTTGCTTGGACTTAATGGAATGATTGGATAAGGGTAAATGATAAGTGATGTGTGAAACCCTAAGGTGAGGTATGAGAAGCAATCCAAGTTAATAAGTTTGAAAAGTGACTTGACGTTGGAACAAGCCTTATTTATCTTTTTGTTTTGAAATTGTTTTCTAAATCCTTTCATTTTTATCTTTCTTAACAATCAAGCAAGCATACCACCATACAAGCATAAAAGCATATAAAACTCTACATTATTACATTGTAAATGGGGAGGGGGAAGTATGAAAAACTCACCAAGGGGGGTAAAATAATATATCATGAAAGTAAATGAATGGAAAGAACCATAAAAGTACAATGGCATGATCAGAGTTCTAAACCCAAATGTGAAGTTTCTCAAGTGCTACCTCACACAACAAAGCAAAAGAGTCAGTATACATAATGTAATATGATATGGTATGGTCATGTGATTAATTAATTATGAAAAAATTATAAGAGATCAAAGCACAATTGAAATCAACCAATTTATCAAAGCTAAAATCAAAGGTTAACCTAGAATGAGGGTCAAAGGTATTAATCAAATTCAAAGGCAAAAGATGCATCACAAGCTGCTAGCTAACATTTTCCATAACCAAGCATAAGGTCAAGTATGAAACAAGTGTGAAGGTAAGAATTAATCAAGAATAAAATGAAAACAAGCAACAATCAATTAGGATCAAAATTCATGCTAAAACCCTAATTCATATTTACATGATTAAATATTTTGAAAATAAAGTGAAAAAATCAACCAAATAACATCAACTACATTAAAACAGATCATAAACAAAAAATTGGACCAATAAAAATGAAAGGAAATTAAATTTAAATCATATTGAAAAAAAGAAAAAAAAAAGCATTTAAAATAAAGAAATTAGAAGAAAAATAAAATGGGAGCTAAAAAAGAAAAAGTAGGGTTCAATAGCAAAAATACAAAGCCCAACGCTACAAAAAGCCCATTAGGGAACTTGAAACTAACAAAAACATTGTCGTGTACTAACACATGATCTCGTCGTCCATCACAGATCCAACACGCTAAAAACAATGAGATCACAAGACCTTTCCACCGTAGGACCACATTGACTAGGCATTTATCCATAATCAATGGTCATGACGTCAGGATCTACCATATCTCACTCTAATTCACACGCATGTGGTTTAAATACACAGTCAACCTAACTAATAATCATTTAATCACAACAATCAGCATATGTGGCATGTTTAGTCAGCAATTAAAAATTAATTAAATTGAATTAACAAAAACACCATGATCATCTTCTACCTCTAGCATCCAAAATTGTGATTCTACAAATCTTAACCAAAATGCACAAACAAGCAATCAATAGAACCGTTATCACTTAACAAATCAGACTATGCAATCAATTTCCATTAATAACATCAGGATTCAAAGAATTTTGCAAAATACCTCAATAACCCTAACTGAACAAAATAAAATTAAATGATAATGATGCAAGATCAATGGAAATTAGCTTAAGTTTATTGCTTAGCACATGAATACGCATGATCTGGTAACAAGAATCATCAAAAATAGTGAAGAAATGGACCTGCTTGAAAGGTGCTCAGAGGTGCTTGAAGATGAAGTTGGTTCTCACTCTTCAGAGCTCCGTTTGGCCTGCTTCTTCTTGCTACAACTTCCTTGAAATTTCTACTTGTGATCTGGGTAGAGAATTAACCTTGAATATTCACCAATTCTTCCAACCAAATCAAGTTTTAGAGCGTTTTGAGCACGATTTAGGAAGAGTAATTCTGGATTTTTAAGCTTGCAAATACCATTGGGACAACTTGATATTTATAGGAGGATGGTGTATGGAAAGTAGAAGCGTGAGATTTGATCTGAAATTTGGAAATTGGGTGTGTGGAGTTCGCTTGCTCTAACAACCTTGACAACTCATATTTCTAGTTGTTGGAGCTCACTCCCACGTGATTTTTTAGTGGGGAATGATTGTGTGATCATTAGTGGATGTTTAGGAATTATGAGGTGGATAGAATCTAGATCATTCTCTTATTTTGTCATATTTGTTTTGTCCTATGTTGAGCAAAATTTTGCAAACTTGACCATATGCCCATGTGCTCAATTCCTACTCTCTTGGGTCAATTCTTGATGCTACATAAAATAGTCCACGATGTGAATAAGAAGCAAATGGAATTGGGTTGAAAGGATGATTGGATTGGAAGCAATGTTGGTTTGAACTTGCTATATTTAACTGCTCTATAACCCATGCCACAAGTTATGCCTCCTTTTGAAATTTGAAGAATGGATATCATTAGACATTGTACTTGAATGTTTTGAGTGCTTTTGAACAC